TCAATGCCTATATCAACATGAATATTAAGCACACTGGTGATAGTCCTTAGGAATATATCTTAGAGTATTGGTATCTTTTCTGTATATCAAATTCTAATTTATTTTCACTATTTCTAATTATTAATACTTCTAAAAATTGTAGTTTTCAGAATTTTCAATTTCATATGTGAATTTAACTGACAATAAACAACTGTTTAGGATGAGTTCCGTTTCCAAACCTACATAACCGATCGGTAATTACTATTTTGACAGCGGTTCTTGAAAAATGGGTTATTTGAGGAACGTATGAACATGAACCCAAGAATAGGGTTAGGGTTACATTAAATTTTATATTTGTTGATTTTTTTTAATCTTGTGATGATTATGATGAAGTTCAGCGGTTCGGTATCTTTATCTAATAGTTGTTCTGTAATATTTTTATTGTGTTGTTTAAAGCATGTAATTACTAATTGATTATAAATGGAACATTTTTTTGTACAGGAAGTTTTGTTGAGTTCTACTGATAGTTCTAGTGATGATGATTTGGAGGTTCGGGGTCCAATGGGTAAACTTAAGTTGTAAGTCGTAATTGCGTCTTTTAACTGATAAATGTTGTAGAATTGAGACCAAGAGTAGAAGAATTTATAGAAAAAGTTGTAGACAGTTATACAGACGAGGAATTCAGAAACAACTTCAGAATGAATCGAAGAACATTCAGTGCTGTATTAACTTTAATTGCAGTTAAGATATCCACACAAGATATGGATGTAGGTCGTCATACAATACCTGCAAAAGCCCAGTTACTAATAGCGTTATGGTATTTTGCAACACCTGATTCATATCGGTTAGTTGTTTGACTAGGTATAAGAAATTATTTTTTCTAAAAATGTAGGTGGCGTAGGTACTTGCATGAAATATTCATTTTATTTATTTAGGTCATGAAATAATTGACCTCAAGTTACTTTATTCCAGATTGTTGAACTCTAATTTCAGGTCAATATGTGGACGATTTAATATTGGCAAAGCCACTGGATTGAGAACAGTCCGGCGTGTGGCAAATGCTCTTTTTGATATAAGTCCTACTATAATTAAATGGCCCACTGGAGATGAAAGGGAACGAGTAATTGAACAATTTCAATTAAAAGGATTTCCAAGTACTATTGGTGCTATCGATGGAACACATATTCCGATACCACAACCAAAAGATCATGGATTGTCCTACATCAACAGACACAATTTTAGCAGTATAATATTACAGGTAAATATACATAAATTTACCTACAATAATTTTACATTTACATTTTCATAATAATTTGTTCATTATTACTTTGCTTTAATTACTTTTAACTATAGGCTGTTTGTGATCACAACATGAAATTCACGGACTGTTATGTAGGGGAAGTTGGTTCTAGTCACGATTCCAGAGTTTTAAAAAAAAGTACCGTGTGGCGTAGAATTATTGCAAAATCTGAAGAAGATTTTCCAAATAATGTACATATTATTGGAGATAAAGCATATCCTTGCTTACCTCAGTTGCAGACTCCATATAAAGACAACGGACGTTTAACTGTTGCTCAAAAAAAATTACAATTTTCAGCTGTCAAAAGCCCGCTCAACCATTGAACGTGCATTTGCCTTATTAAAAAAACGTTTCAGATGTTTTATTTTTTAGGACGTTTTGTGTGTGGAATGGATTCCTAAGTATATAATTGCATGTTGTGTTTTACATAATATATGTATCCAAAATAATGATATTTTAGATGTGGAAGAAATAATAAATAATGAAAACATTGCAGATGAAGTAGAAAATTTTTAAAGGGAATTTCTACAATTAGGGCGAATTAAAAGAGACTTCATATGTGCAGAGTTGTTTAACAATAATAATTAAAATTATAATCGACAATTTATGTATTCAGTTGCCTAATAATAAATAACACTTATGAAAATGAGGGGTTTTTATTACTTTTCCCAACCTTTAACCAAATACTGAATGCAATTTCTGCAAGAAAATAATAACTTTTAAATGATATAAAGTAACTTTAGAACTAGAATCATAGACATATAATGCCTATCAGTAAAACATTGTAATGAAGATTGTAGTTTGTAAAAATTATGAAACGATAATACAAGAACCTTTTTATTATGTAATGGTACACAGGTAAGTACTTCGGTTAAGGAAAAATATAACGAACTTGAAACAAAAATAAACTTCAACAGATAAAAACAAACAATAATAAAATATATTAAACTAAACAGTGATTCATGAATACTACTTGTATTTATTACAAATAAAAACAACTACCCACAATAAGTATAAAATATTGTATTTCCAACATTTTTGTCGAAAATGGTATCTCAATCAGAATTATCACTTTCATTTTCTTTATTTGAGCAATTTTTTTTATAATTTTCTTTAAACCATTGAAACATCTCGTGCTTCTGCTGCATTCTTTCCTCATGCCTCTTTTGTTTCCTTTCATCCAAGTCATAAGCCGATAGAGATCTTTTCCTCTGTTTTTCTCCAGGTGATAATTTATTTTCTTTACGATGTACAGTTACGTCTTCTATTACTTCTTCATTATCTAATTTTCTTTTAAATATTCCGCTGCTCGATGCAGTTTAAACTGGATTGAATTTTGGGTCATGAAAATAGATATCTTGAAAATCATCCAAAAACTGCCAATAAGTAGGTGAATTCCCTGTTTCATTTTTTGAGTGTAGTACTTTTTCATAAGATTTTTTTCAAGTTTCTCCATTTTTCGTCACACTTTAGACCTGTTTTAAATATTCCGTGTTTTTGCAGATGTAAACTTATCAGATCCCATACTTTTTTTGTTATTATATAATGGGGATGTAAATTTATCTTTATTTTGTCTGTAACCTTCAATAAGTAACTTAACACAAGCATCAGTCCACTGTGATTGTGACTCTACTAAACTCTCACTACTAGCCCCTGCCCTACTAGCACCTGGTCTTTCTGCATCTAATTGCTTGTATTGCAAAGACTGTGATTGTGGAATTATGTTTTCACAGCCATAAATTTTTTTTGTTCCAAAATCTACATTTACATTACCATATCGTGTGAAACATATATGTTTCGTTGGGATGTCTTTCTCTATAATATAATTTAATGGTCCCATGATAATGTTACAGTGCCCACAAAAAAATATTTCGAGGCTTTCCTCCAAAGCTTCCTGTAAAACATAAATATAATTAATAAATTAAATAGTTTTTATTAAATTATTACAACATACCGCCATTATTAAAACAACATTAAGATAAGATTTGAACCACCTCAAAAATACACCACGACATAAACGGTCCTGACCCTAACCTACCACCATAACAATCAAATTCAAATAATCAAACCGCTTTTACCGTGCCACAGACGTCGGTCATTTCGGTGACAGATAATTTCAGGAACCGCGTTCCGTAATTAATCAAGTTTCAGTAACCAATCATATACCAGCATTTACGGGACCGTAAACCGTAACCAAGACTGGAAACGGAACACATCCTTAATTTAGAAACGGTCAATATCTGACATTTGTGTCAAACACTGTAAAAATATCAGCCACATACCTAAATCAAATCCTGGGGAAAAACTCAACTTCTTCTTTTGCTTCTGTTTCGAATCTGTTCATGAAAAGACTGGCAGTGAATGGTGCCATAGAGTTTTCCATTGCTGTTCCTAAAAATTTATCGAGAAAATTTTGTTTGATCCGAATACAATTTTGTCTCATGCAAAGTTTAGTAAGTTGAAGATATTTTTTTACTACATGTTGATTAGGATTGTTTAAATCACGTAGATCCTCAAGGTAGTCCAAGGTCTGTGGTATCGGAACACTTGGAAACAATGAGCAAACAAACGTCAAAGAATATCAAAAATTCACCTTCTTGCAACTGGATATTTTTTCACCTTATTATTGAAATTATTGGAATTAATCACAAAGAAACTAGGTGGTGCAATGAGTAAACTTTCGAATTCCTTTGTCATTTTGATGGGTAGTAAGTTCGCAATCAAACTGCTGAAACAATAAGACGCACTGACTTTCCTGGTTTATGTATCTTATGAGGCCTGTACCTTTTCGAGATTCATGACAATTTCAACCGTACATGATTAAACCGTACGAGTAAACACGAAAATATATGTGACAATTCTGATAAAATTATCCCTAAAATGTATGGGCCGTTGCGAAGTCGTGAAATCGGTCGGGTAATCGCATACAATTAAAATTGTCATGAATCCCTAAAATGTATGGGCCCCATTAGGCAAGCAATACAATCTGGGTACATTTTGGTTAAATACATGTAACCTGCTATTAAAAGCTGGATCAATAAGCGTTTTTTTTTTTCAAAAAATGGCTATAGATTTCCTTAGAAAAAGCAAGGGTAACTTAAGTTCAACCTTAATCAATAATACTAATTTATTAGCATTATAATAACTGAAAATAAAAAAAAATACCAAAGATGTTCTAATTGTGCCTCATCTATAGCAGTGCAGAGAGCCAGGCGGGCCCGAATATTTCTTATGATATTTTCGAGGACATCATGAGGTCATCCAGATTGTCCGGTCTATTCTCATACAGTTTATTTTTTAGATAGCCCCATAGGAAGAAGTCCAGAGGCGTTAGATCTGGAGAGCTAGCGAGCCATTCCATTGCCCCTATCCACCTGTCAGAAAAAGTTTCGTTTAATTACTGCCTAAATTCTGATGGAGCCCCGTCTTGGTAAAATAATACATTATTCATAAGCCATTATTCTCTTGTTGGAAGAGGGGTGTTAGTTGTGATATTACACTCGTTTGTTAGAAATTTAAATGGAAATCTGCAGCTGATTGCCTTCCAAAAAGAATGGTCTTATGATATTAATTTATTAAAATCCACAGATAATACAACCCCTTGTATATCTGAAAGTATCTCAAGGTACCTTGTGTGGGAGAGGGCTACACATTTAGAGACAATAGATACACACCCAATGTACGAATATGCTAGGATTCATTTATGGTTTAGAAAACATCATAACTCCTTGACTGAGGATCGAACTCCAGGATTCCAGGACTCCAAAGTGAGAGGCAAGTGTCTTTACCATTCGACCACGAAGCCACACGAAGAAGACAATTCTAGTGATGAAATTTTCATTGTTATTATCATCATTAACACAAGACTCAAACCTCCTGTAACAGCCACCTTATTAAAAAAAAACATGCTCATCATTCGTTACGATTATAGTCGTCTACTTTAGGGCATATCTTTAACAGAACCCTAGTGAATTTTTTTAAACATTATTCCAACGATTTTGAGCTGGATACTTCTGGTTAAATAAGTTGCATTCTTCCTATTGTGTTCTTTTACGATCTCCGTTAATGTTTCAATTATTTATCATTCAGAAAATTGCTCCATTTTGTAGTCAAGAACAGCACACAACAGCGTGTTCACCAATTGCTGACCGAGACCGCTTTAATATTCATTTCGAGATTGCAAAATTGCAACGTGAAAATGCACGCCGCTGTGCAAAGCCTACTCTTAAGAAAAAAATCGTGCAATCTAATTTAATTGAAAATATGACTTTAACTACATTACTAACCGGATTAGAACCAAAAACAAGACAAATCGTAAAAGCTGAAAATCCTCGAAATATGCTTGAAACGATAAACCGTGTTAAAGGAGAACTCCAATTATCGTATTTCGAATCTCAAAAATTTACAAATAAAATCGTAAATAAACAACCAAAATCTACCAAAACGACCTGTTTTTAACAATCAACAATTCTGTTCTGATTGTAAGCGAAATTGACACTCTCTTGCCGTGCGAGGCAACAATTTGCTCCGCAAAATCAAAATTTTGGACCTACATGCGTTAGTCAACTAAGATCAAATTTTCTAAATTTCCCCAGCCAAATGCTCAAAGAAATTTTACGCCACTAGAAAATTAAAAATTTTCAAAACAGAACTTTCAGTCAACAAAATAGTAATTGCAATCATCCTAACCCACAAAGAACACAAAGAACGACGATTATTATAATCAACAAGAATGTTAAACTACCTATTTTTACAATCAGTATGGCAATTGCAATAATCAACAGTTCGAACATTATTGTCCTCAAAGTTATTAATCAAATTTCGATATTTCTCTTAACCAACAAAATGTACAAGAGAATTATACTGCTAATTCTTAGAATTTGTATGAAAATTGTACTGCTAATTCTCAAGATATGTATGAGAATTATACGGCTAATTTTCAAAATTTATGTGAAGATTATACTGCCAATTCTCAGGATTTTCAAACAGGTCCGGAATATCCCGCAGATACTATAACACAAGTCGAACAAATAGTTTATCAAACACAATACATGAATCTATAGGACCAAGATTAAGGACAACACTTCACACTGTAAATTCAAAAAACTTCCATTATATTAAGAACTCTATCAATACTTTCAAAATTTTGATAGATGCTGGAATATTCATTATCAAACCAGACACTTGTAAATTAGAAAGATATCCGAAGAATATTATAATTCAAGGCATAATCGATCAAAAGTTAATTATCATTGAATCAATTTTAATTCCTTTTAGATTCAATGATCCTCATAAAGTATACATTTACAATTTTACATAGAATTTGACGAGCTCTTAGGTTCCGACTTTTTCGAACATTTCGAATGTGTCATTGATTTTAAAAAATAAACAATTAAAAACTAACTTTAAAACATTTCCACTTTTTAAAGTAATAAAAGATTCACCAGAATCCACAATTTCCAACACATCAAAATAAATTTCAAAATTCTACCCAAAACAAAATTTCGATCGAAACATGTACAGAAAAAACTATGTAAATTAAAATATAATTTACTTAATACTGATGTTATACTGCTAGCGCAGGAAATTATGCTTATGCTGTGGTAAAAATAAATTAAAAAGGCGAATTTGTAACAACCGTAATTAACGCAAACGACATTAATTATTAATTAATTAAAATTAAATTAATGGTCTTTAGATGGTTTTAGACCATTAATTTTTGCAATTTAAACCTCGGACTAGTTCAAAATTTTAAGGCAATTTTTTATTTAAATATTCAAAATTTTAACCCTCATAGAGACGGGTAGAACTTTCCAAATAAAAAATGAATTACGCTTGGATCATTTAAACGAAGACGCATAAATAATAACGCAGCTTTGTTTAGATTTCCAAGGCATATTCTACTTAGAAAGAGATAATCTGTCTTTCACAAACGAAACTAAACATGTGATCGACAGTAATAATTCTAAACCTATTTTTACAAAATCTTATCGGTATCCCAAAATTCACAAAGAAGAAGTTAAAAATTAAGTACCAAAAATATTAATTTAGGGTAGATCACCTTGTCTTCTGCCAAAGAAATATGGCGCGTTGTAGTTGGCTATCGAAAACTCAACAAAGTAACAAACGCTGATAAATATGCTCCACCTAATATATCTGACCTTTTAGATCAGCTCGGAAATGTCAATATTTTACAACTTTAGATTTGCTATCGCAGTTTCACCAAATCAAAATCAATTCCGAGGATATTCAAAAAACAGCTTTCACAGTTGAAAGAGGTTAATATGAGTTTGCGCGCGTGCCTTTTAGACTGAAGAATGCTCTTTCAAAGGGTGATGAACAATATTCTACTTGGAGTTCAAAACGAAACACGTATTGTCCATATGGACGACGTTATCATTTATTCACCTACCATCCATGAGCACATTTCCTGCTTAACCAATGTATTAAAACGCCTTTAAAAAGCCAATTTAAAGATACAATCCGACAAATGTGAATTTCTACGCAAAGAAGTCTCATATTTAGGACAATTAATAACAAAAGATGGTGTGAAACCTAACCCGACCAAAGTTGACGCAATTTTAAACATCCCACAACCAAAAAACCAAAAAGATACATCATTTTTTGGACCCGCGGGCTATTATCATATATCAATTTCAAAGAAACATTAATTACATCACCGATTTTAATATATCCAAATTTTCTTATTAACTACGGATGCAAGCTCATTCGCGATAGGCTCAGTCCTCTTACAAGGACCTATTGGTAAAAATTTACCGCTCGCTTATGTTTCCCAAATTTTATGCAATACCGAAACTAAATATTCAACCAAAGAACGCGAGCGTTTAATCATCGTTTGATCAATTACGCACTTTAGGCCATACTTATTTGGCAGAAAGTCAAGCTAATTACTGACCACTTACCTGGTTATTTTTCATAATATTCTAGGCAGTAGATTAGCATGCTGGCATTTAAAACTCGAAGAATACGATTAATAAATCGTATATAAAGTAGGTAAAATTAACAAAAATACGGACGATCTAGAATAAAAATAAATTAATTTTTGGACTGTTCAAAATTTAACTCTAAAATTTTAACAGAAAATGAGGACAATACAGATGATGAAAACACCAACAACGAAATTACAAACGAATAAATCACATCGATTATTCCAAAATTCAATTTTCTAACAATTGCTAGACAGTGAAAATAAAAACATTATTAAGTTCTTTCAACAAAGTAAACTACAAGATCATCATTATAAAATAATTGAAGATATTTTCGAGGAGCCTCGATAATATCCAAATTATTACTGTCTCAAGAAAAACTATGAGGAAACGAAAGTACTTTATCATTCCTTTCTTTACTTTTCGACCCAGAATCTGTTAATGAAATTTTATTCTTTACATTATTTAAATATTAAACATTTGACTTTACACTAACATATCACGTAGAAAATAACTTACACCTGCCAATATTAGAAATTTTTGCAGAAAAAGATTTAAAATTAGTAATTTGCCAAAATATACGTTATATGACACAAAATTTTTTTAATGTCGGGTTCGAATAATATTTAAATAATTACCGAATTTCGTAAAATTATGTATAGCTGATTATTTCATTCAACATAAAATAAAAGTCTTTGCTTGATTCTCATACGTGTATTAATAAATGAAAACTATGGTGCTTTCATTTTTGTGTTTCGACTGCTGATTGGACACAAGCCCATGTTTCTGTTTTTATATTGCGCTTTGTTATTGGTAGTTTTAATCAATATTAAAAAATATTACGGCTGCAATTTTGTTTCCATAGTTTCCAAAAAGCAAATTAATACATACATCAACAGAAATGTCATTGTTTGTTAGAATGAGAAAGGAATTAAATTTATATGATACATTTTATAATTGAAGGGGCGGATATGGATAAAGGTGTTAACTGACATTGTTTTAAAAATTGCAATATTCGATAATTGTGTTGCGATATTACAATTTTCTTGTCACCAATGTTTCGTTACGTTTCCATGAATAGATACTTAGATACCAAATGGATAAAGGAGCTAAGAAATAACATAGCTTCGTATCTCTGATGAATAAAGGTTAGTAAAAACGTTTTTCTGACAAATTAGCAATTTGCTAATTGTATGATAAAGTGTGTGGATAAAGATCCACCCACCCTTTTAATTGTAACAACTAATTGTAAGTTAAATATTAACATTTACACACGCTCGCGCTAAAGCGCTCATGTGATTTCGAAGCAAAATATTTTGTTTGTCATAAATCGATAATCATTAATATATTTGTTATATTACTTGCGAAAACAGTTTTGATATTAAAAACTTGTTTTAAACATCTTCGCCTTTTCGTGGTGATTTTACACACACTTGTTCCAAATATTAAAACCTAATTGTTGTAATAAAATTATATTTATAAATAACAAATCTTTTGATGATATTTCATCAGTTACACTAAATACACGTTGGCAAGCTACATATGATACAAGTATAGAAAGTACGAATGACATAATTTTCAAAACAGTCTGACAACAACTCAACAAGTAAGCAAGTGACAAAAGATAGAGGTGATTGGTACTGCGTACTGCGCTCATCAGAACATGACTGCCACAAAATATTTGCTGTCTTTAGTGACAGACAACTGGTTATAGATGGGTATTGTAATTTTGAATGCATGTAGCTCTATTTTATCACAATTTTCTAGAGATATAGCCTTAATTCCGGGAGCCAGGAGAAGTGGTTTTAAAAGTGGACAAATCCGAGAGAATTCCGGAATTTCGGGAGAAGAGGTAATC